AAACCTGAGTGCTTATACAGTTGTTTTGTTTTTGATTCTTTGTTTTTGTTCTTTTTTTTTTTTTTTTTGGCTAGGCAATGGGGTTAAGTGACTTGCCCAGGGTCACACATCTAGTAAGTGTTATGTGTCTGAGGCCCGGAGTCGAACTCAGGTCCTCCTGAATCCAGGGTTGGTGCTCTATCCACTGTGCCACCTAGCTACCCCTGATTCTTTGTTTTTGAAGAGGACCAAGGACAGTGTCTAATAGGTGAAGTAGAGTTGCACACTTGTCAACCTCACTTTTTTTTCAGAATCATAGAAGTCCAGTGGCAAAACAAAAGTCAGGATGACTGGTGATGGCCTGGGATACAGGGAATGACCTTGATGTCTTTGATATCTGAACCAAACTCTAAGCACTCCAAAGTTCCTGCTTCAGCTGCCTTCATGGCCATTGGAACAAATTGTTTTCATTCTCCCATTCCGACCAGGGGAAGTCTTCACATGTCTGGGGTAGACATTTCCCTAACTCACTGAACGGTTTGAGGCCCTCACCTGGGGCTCTAAGAAGCCATAGCATTTGTAGCAGCAGTCACATCCTGGTAAAACCATCTTGGTAGGTAAGTTTAAACTAGGTTGAAGATAACCAACAGGCCTTAAAACCATTATATAGTAATGCAAAGTTGGCAACTACCCTTAGGTGATTTCTGCATAGAGGTATACTTTATTTTATTGCACTTTGCAGATACTGTGTTTTTTACAAATTGAAGGTTTATGGCAATCCTGTGTCAAGTGAATCTATCAGCATCACTTTTCCAAAAGCATGTGCTCACATCATATCTCTGTGTCACATTTTTGTAATTCCTGAAATATTTCCAACTTTTTCATTATTATTATATCTGTTATGGTGATCTGTGATCAGTGATCTTTGATGTTATTGTTGTGATTATTTTAGGGAGCCATGGACAGAGCTAATATAAGACTATGATAACTGTTGGGTGTTTTGACTTCTCCACCAACCTTCCTTTGCAGTCTCTTTCCCTCTCCTCAGACCTTTCTGTTCTCTGAGACACAACAATACCGAAATTAGGCCAGTCAACAACCCTACAATGGCCTCTAAGTGTTCAAGGAAGAGTCAATCAATGCGGCAAACTTTTTCTTTGTCCTATTTTAAGAAATTGCCACTGCCACTTCAACCTTCAGCAGCTACCACTCTGATCAGTCAGCATATCAACATCAAGGCAAAATCACCAGCAAAAAGATTATAACTCTCTAAAGGCTTAAATGATGGTTAGCATTTTTAGCAATAAAGTATTTTTAATTAAGGTATATAAAGTGGTTTATTTATTTTTTTTTACAAATTAGTGCTGCATATTTAATAGACTATAGTATAGTATAAACATAACTTTTATATACACTGGGAGACCAAAAAATTCTTGTGATTCACTTTATTGTGGTGGTCCAGAACCAAAGCGGAAATATCTTCAAGGTATGGCTATCCTGGTGTTGCCAGTGTCCACCTATCTGGGGGGAGGTAAACAAGCAAGAAAAGTAAGAGAAAGATCTCCAAAGTGTACTTCATGTCCAGATGAAGCATTGAGGATTGTGGTTCAAAGAAAAAAAAAAGCCCACTCTTTTTATTATGCTTACTGTTCTTTGCCAGCCTCAGCTCTTTCCAATTTACATCATTCTTACCATTATTCTCACAGAAATGCAATGCTTTGTGCTTATCCTCCATTACCTACTCTTGCTTCCCTCTTATATCCATGTCTTTTACTGGTCACTGAGTTCCCTGTGTATCTGCATCCATTTCTTTCAGCAACTTCTTTTTTCCTCATAGATATATTTTATTTTCAAGTCTTGGGAATTTCACTTTTGAGATCTTTCCTGATCCTCTAAGGATGATTTTCTTTGTATCATTTCAGGCCACAGGAATCCTACCTCTCAATTTTATGTAATAGAATCTTTTCTGCGACCTGAGGAGGGCAGGGAGTGGTATTCTCATTCAGTTAGTTCAGGAAAGGTGGATTTCAGTAGTTTGCTAGAGGGCAATTTATGCCTCCATGGTCCAGACTCAAAGGACGGTGGCAAAGACTTCATAAATTCACAGATTTAGAGCTGGAAGGGACCTTAGCATTTATCCAACTCCCTCATTTTAGAGATGAGGAAACTGGGGCCCAGAAAAGTGCACTTGTCCACCATTTTTCACACAGGTGAACCACTTTCTCTCCGGCTTTGACTGTTGCTCCCAAGGCCATTTTTAAATGATTAAGGTTACAAAGCACTTTCCTACCCCAGGAAAGTAGGCTGTACAAATAGTATAATCCTCATTTTGTAGATGGAACTAAAGCCCAAAGAAGGTATTTGTCCATAGCTCCACATCTGATAAGTCTCAAAACTGAGATTCAAACCTAGATCTCCTAACTCTAGGTTCAATGCTGTCTTGATGCTAATCAATATTTATATTTTTTTAATGAGCTCCATAATTAATATTCCTTGTTCAGCTGCTATCAGTTTTCATGGTAGTCTTTTGGCCTAGGAGGTCATGCTCAATAGTATCCAGGTAACTGAAAGCTGTCTTAATAGATATTACTTTCCCAGCTTCATAACCCTAATTCCTGTGCTTAACATACTTAGAGCCTTTCTAGGTGATTCTTGGAACTTTTCCCATTCAAGAGCCTCATAAAGGACCTAAAATACCTGACCTTGTGCCCTGGAGACAAAAGTCTATAAAGTGTTTTCTTGAGCCCTGGAGGGAGATGTGGAGTTCTAGGCCTGGCTACTTGCCATACCTAATTTCCCCTATTCCACACCCCTGTTGAGGTTTAGAGGTTTAGGGGTGCTAGGACCCCCAAATCACAACATACGGGTCCTCCCAGAAAGAATTAGACCCAAGCCTTCTTTCAGCCAAAGACAAGGTTTACTAGAACATCCATAGGGGGTGGGTGAGATTTAAAGAATCTGCCATATTGGCCAGACTCTTAAGAAATCTAAGCATTTGTATCGCTAAAGCAAGAGAGCCAGAGGTTAGGAATCTGAACCCTTGGCAAGACTCTTAAAGAATCTGAGCACCTTAATGTAGAGAAGATGGACCTTATATACAGAAAGACTGTGGGAGGGATCGAGCAGTGGCCAAGTAGTCTGGGGTGACTAGAGGGTCTAAGGAGGACCTGGATGGGAATGGCCAATAAGCTGGGGTAAACAGACCTTCAGGGACCTGATCCACAGTGGCCAAGGGAGAATGGAGTCTAGATAGGATTAAGGGTGGGAAGTGGCCAGGGGCAACTGAACACAATTGGGACATTGTGCATAGCCACAATGAAAGGCCAGTTAAGTGGATTACAGCCTCAGGCATTTGGGAAAGTCCAGGGATTTTCCTTTTTGCAGTCCAGATCCCAAAGACACGGTCTTTTCCTTTTAGGGGTTCAGACCTATCCCCATCACCCTGACAAAATGGCTGAAGCTCCGAGGTCAATGCGACTTTTTAACAGGCTTCTGGCAGGATTTAGCTTCCAAAGAACAGGGCTCTAGGGGGTTCGGGTTCTTAAGTGATTTCTATTCTGCAGAAATCCATCAGTCTGGCAACAGTTCTTGATTGAGCCACAAGGGTGCGCCTGTGGTGACATCTGTGGGTCTCCTAGAATCTGAGATGGAAAGGCACCTCCGAGATCACAGACTCTTACATCCCTACCAGTCTAGAAATGCCCTCTAAAGTATCCCAGTTGGGAATCCTGTGGCCTCTGCTGAAATACGTACAATGATAAGGTACTATCTTTTGAGCCAGTTTTTTGTATTGTTGGACAGCTGTTGGGAAATTTTTCCCTGATGTTAAGGTGAAATACGCCTTCCCATTGCTTATGGTTCTGTGTAGGTGTCTCCCCTCCTTTCCTTTCCTTCTTCTCTTCTTTCCCTTTCCCTTCCCCTTCTCCCTTTTCCCTCACTCCTTTCTTCTCCTCTCTCCTCCATCTAGACGTGGTGATAAACAGACTCAGAGGGAAGGGAAACAATGGGAGGCTGTAGGACTGATGGGATTCAAGATTCATTCTTACAAACTAGATTACACCATGAAATATTTTGTTGGGCAAGGGCAACTTCTCTTTTCAACCCTAAACCCCCCTTTTCCCCTCCTTCACTTTCCAGGTCTTCCTGGAGTGTTTCAGCTATCACTTTCACCTTTCTTCTGAGGAGACCTGACTTGTTTCAACTCAGCAGCACAGTTGAGTGGCAAGGGCATTGCCCCTGGCTGAGTTTAACTCTCAGTTCTACTTAGGTCCCCTGTGACCTTAGACATGTGACATTCCAGGAGCCCCAGGTTCTTCATCTGTAGAATGAGGAGCTGAGATGGATGGTCTGTAAGCCCCCTTCTAGCTATCAACCTTTATCCCTTATTATATTTGGACAGGAATTTGCTTCTTTCCCTTCTAACGCAGAGAAAGCAGATCTGGGAGATGGGGGGGTGGTGCAGATTCAGGAACCACAAATGGTTGTATGTATAGCTTATGCCTTCCCCACCTCTGGAGGCTCCACTAAACTTCCAACTGAACCTGCCCTGCCCCCAGATGTACTTCTTCCAGAACATTCAGATCTCTCTCCCCAACAACCTGCTGACAAGTGACTTTCCCCTAGAATAGTCTGAGATCTAGTGGCAAGAAGGGTCCAGAACCCAGAACTTCAGTCCTGACTAGAAGGTCTTTGAGAGCAGAGTTTGATCAATAGGATTTGAGTGGGAAGTGGGACAAGAGCAGCATTAACTGAGACTGGTGAGAGAAACAGCTGGGAGGAGGAAAGCTTAGGTTTCTGTTGACATATGCAAATCATTTTCAAAACAAGTCAGCTCCTTCATGGAGCTTCATGGAGCTGTTGTACTCCATGGACTGGTACTCCAAAGTACTGGTTCTTTCTCCCCTCACAAAAAGGGAACCAATTGCTTCTATATTTTCTACACCACACCCCATGGACCCAGAGAGAGGCCAGAACTTTAGAGGAAGGGATGGTGATCAAGTTTATTTTCTAAGAGCGTAAGGATCAGATCCTTTGCAAGTATTTTGCAGAAAGACCTGGGGCCACCTCAGACACCAGGGGAACTGAACGCTACCAGAAAAGTCACACCAGACTGGACAGTATTAAAAGTAAAAACTACATATAGGGATAGAACTCCCTGCTAGGGCATTTACTTCTCTCATCCAGGTAGGGGGAGCAGCTGCCAAACACCCTGGGCACCCCCAGTAACATCACACCCTGGAGGATTTGTACTGAGAGCCAGTCCTTAACCCTGGCAGTTTGGCCAAAGCCAGAAGAAACTCTGGCCTGCCTCCATTTCGGACTCCCCCCCCCCATAAGAAACAACACTACATCTTTTCCTCCTGGGGGGATGCTGGTAGGGAGAAGACAGATACCTGACTAGTCCCCTCTAGGACAAGCAAGCCAATGACAAACAGGAAGACCAGACAAGGATCCCATCCCCTAGCTAAATCTGTGAATGGGGAGGTGGTGACTCCCAGGCTGGTGACTCTTTGGGGGCAGGAATGGGGTAATTGAGGACCTCCATCTGGAGTTATTGCTGTGATGAGCCCCGTCAGGGCAGTGGGTCTCTCTGTGGAATTTTCTTCTCCCTAGCCCTATTATTGCCTTAATGGTGCAGCAAACGGGGGCACCCCATCATCCCCAGGAGCTGAGCACTCTGTGGTGGCTAGGGACTTTGTGAAACAGAATGGAGACTGTGCTTTCTTTGGCGAGGGGTGATGGGACTGAGGTGGCAGGAATTTGAGCTTAGAGTAGGCTCTCCTCCAGCTCCCCTTCGGGTTCCAGGGGCCCAAGGGTGGTGGGTGCTGGTGACAAGTCCTGGGCCCCCAGGCCACTCAGGGCAGGAGAGCAAAGAAAGTCTCCAGTCTGTGCTCATCTGCAGGACAGGGTCGATGAATGGCTAGTGGGCATCCACCTCCAGGGCAGGGACATTGGGCTGAGGCCCTCAGTCTGTGGACACCTTTTAGGTCAGAAAAGCCAGATGATTCCTGGGCACTCACAGGGAAGATGCACCTGGATGAGGCTGTTAGTCCATGGGCACACTTGAACCAAGGATACTGGGGAAATCGGTTACCCTCATTCCATGCGCGCCTGCAGGGCAAGGGCAACGATTGAAGCCCTCAGTCCCGGGGCTGTCCATCCAAGCCCAAACCACGGTCCCCGACTTCCTCCGCCTTGCCCTGGCCTTTGCGCGTTCCCAGCCAGGAATTCCGCACAATAGCAGCAGCCGCAGCAGGTGGTTCGGGTCGCAAGGCGCACACAGCGTGCCTCCGAGCTTGGCTTCGCAGCGCCCGGCTGAGCGAGCGGCGAGGGAAAGCGTAGAGCAGCGGGTGCAGCACCGTGGTACCGTAGGCCGCCGCCAGGCAGCAAAGCCGTAGGCGGGCCAGCCGCTCGCTGGGGCCCATGCACAGAAGAAGCAGGTTGCCCACAGACAAAGGAGCCCAGCATCCCACAAAGGAGCTGACGATGAGCAGCGACCGGCGCAAAACCCGCCGCCTCCGAGCCCGCCTGTCGCGGTGCCTGCGCACGGCTCGCCGCAACGCTAGAATCACAGACACCGAAGTTTGCAGGGCTGGCGGCGGGGGCGCGGGGCCTGGGGTGGGTGCGGCCGGCGGTGGCATGGAACTCAGCCCCCGGGACTCTCCAGACCCGGCCCCAGACCCACAGCCACGTCCTCGCCGCCTCCCCCTTCTCCTCCTCCGACTGGCTCGCGCACCGACGCCCGCGCTCAGCGCATGGAGGACACGCGCGTAGGTCACCAACAGTCCCACAAGAGCCGCCATGAAGGCGGGGATCTGCACCAGGAGGTGGCCCCTGCCAGCAGACGCCCCTCGGCCCGCCACAGCCCCATCTCCGCCTGTACCTACACAGGACACGCCTGTGCGGTTGTCAGCACCCGAGGCGTCATCCCACGCCCCCGGCGCCAGCCCGGCCTCCACAAAGGGCAAGAAGAAGGCTGCCAGGGAGAGCAGCCAAGCGATGGCCAGCAGCAACAGCGCGCGCGCGGGCGTGAGACGACGGCGCGCGGGCCGCGCGGACATGTCGTAGCGGTCCAGGCTCACGGCGAGTACGCCGGCTGCCGTGGCCACGCCGCTAAAGGTGACCCCGGCCTCATGGAAGCGGCAGAGCAGGGTTGCGGGGCGCACCGAGACCGGAGCGCGAGGAGCCGGTGTAGTGGGCAGCAGGAGTACGGCCACGCTGAGAGGGACACAAAGCGCGCAGATGAGCGTGTCCAGCACGTGCAGGCTGAGGGTGAGGCGTGCGCTGGCCGAGGCCCTGGGGCCTGCCCTGGCTCGGTGCAGAAGCAGGGCAGCAGCATTACAGCCCAGGCCCAGCGCGAGCTCCAGAAGCAGCACGCCAGCCAGTGAAGCCCGGAAGCCCCCAGGGAACGGTCGCCCAGCCCAGCCAGCATCCTCGGAGCTGTCCACTGCAGTCCCTGCTCCGGGTCCATCACTTGTCTCCAACACCGGAAGGTCCGAGTGGGTCTCCATGGGCAGGGCTCAGCATAATCCCGGAGCCACCTGTAGGGGAGGGAGGTAGGGTAAGAGAGGGAGAAGGAGGTGAATTTTGCAGCACTGAAACTGGGGCTCCCCTATCCACCCATCCCCCAACCCTGGCAATTAGGCAAATTTTTCCCCCTCTGTACCTGTCAGTCAATAAACACTTAAATGTCTACTAAGTGAAAGGAACGGTGCTAAGTGCAGCTCATACTAGCGGTGTTTACCCTGACCAAGTCAATTAACCTTGCTGAATCTTGAGTTTTATGTGTTGCATGTCTATTGTTAAGGAAAGTGCTTGTAAACCTTAAGTACTATTTAAATGTGAGCTACTATGTATTGCAAAGAGCATATGGAATCGGGAACCTGGCTCTTCCATTCTCGATCTTTATGAACAGCTACTTGCTTGCCCTCTGAACCCCGGACCAACTAGCTGTTTACCTAAACTTTGTATATTCTCCAGCATTGAGCACAGTGCTCTGAACAGAGACCTTGAGAACAGAGAACAGAGAGATGCTTAATAAATGAGCTGGACTAGGTTGGTTTTTAGGTCCTTTTCTCCACTGGAAACTTCCTCCAGGAAGTCTGGGAGGAATTTCTGTTCCTCTCATCGAAAACTGGGCCTTCTTTTATCTGATTCTATGACTTGGAACTTTTAGGAGGAAAGCATCGAAGTGACTGAGAATCAGGAGACCTGGGTCAAATTACAGTCTCTGAGAGTATCTGTAAATGAGGATGATGATATTTTCATCACCTCACAAGGATGCTATGAGGAAAGTGCCATGTCAACATTAAAGCTCCACAGAAATGGGAGTTATTACCTCTGTCTTCTGCCTCCCTTCAAGATGGAAGCTGTCCAGTAGAGAAGCCTCCCCAACCTTGTCTCTACCCTTCCTGAAATAGCATGCCTTCTACTCTGGGAAATAAGAATGTGTTTAAGCGTCTGACTTCCTTTCTTTTGGCCAACAGCTCTGTGCTCCAGGTACTAAGTAACACCCAGCTTTAAGTGTCCCCTCCCTGCCCACCCTTTCATGGACCCTAATATCTGAAGCTACTTTTTACTCTACGGAGAAAAGGAGTGGGGCGTAGGATGGGGTGCTGTTTTGGGATCTTGGAAGTGCTTGGCCTAAGAACATCTAAATTTGAATCTCAGCTTTGCCACTACTTGTTTGAATTTGGACAAATTATTTAACTTCTCTGGGTCTCAGTTTCCCTATCTGTAAAAGGAGGAGGTGAAGTAGATAATCTTTAAAACCTTTCCTCACTCTAACATCCTGTGTTCTAAGGTCCCTTCCAGCTTTAATGTTATAATTCCAATGAAGGAACTGTGTCAGAATTGGGGGACAGGCAGCAGCTGTTGCCCCATCTGGCACAATGACTAAGTGACTCCACCTCCACTCCACCAAACCCCCTGCCATGGCTGTCAGTTAACCAAGGGTAACTGGAGCAGGTATACTGACTTTGTGCTCCCTCCTCATACACATGTGGTTAGTTGGGGGGTGAGAGGAGAGAGGAGAAAGGCTGAGAATAAAGGGTTGAGCTCCCATCCCACCCACATCCTCACCTACACCTCAGGTCACCTGCCCCTTTTCTCCAGGTTGGGGTCTCCTGTTGGGGTGGGATACAGGCAGACCTGTCCTAGAGGAGACAAACAGCTTTCATTCTCTCCTGCAGGGCTCAGAGAGATTATGTATAGTTCTCTCCTCTGGCACTGCTGAGGATGAGATGCCCTTGGGGCATGGCCAAGGTCAGAAGATGACTTGCTCCTTGGGAGGCCCTAGGTTAAGCTGAGTGTTTGTAAACAACCAAAAAGAGACACAGTTTCCAGTAGCCTTCTTTACCTGTATCCCCAGAGGGGCTCCGTTTGGGAACCGTCTGACTGCAAGGCTACCTCTAGGGACATGAATTCAGAGTTGAAGGAAACTCAAGGCTCATCCCCACCCTCCCCTCCATGGCCCAGTCAGGGAAACAGGTCCAAAGACAGGAAGAGACTTGCACACAGCAAGTTAATGTCAGAGTCTGGCTAAGAATCCAAGTTTCCTTGACTTCCGGCTCAGGGTCCTCAGGATGTTTTCATTCCACTGAACCGTATCTAATAGATGACTTCCCACAAGATTAGCCTCTTCTGAGTTTGTGTTGGACATAAGCTCTCCCCACTCCAATCTATCTGGAAGGGTGATTCACCTCTCATTTCAAATCCAGATCAGAGCCCACCTCTGCCAGGAAGATTTCCCTAATTTTCCCAGATATACCTTTTATTCTTTCTCCCTTAAGCCCTTATCTGATTAATGAATCACTTTTCACTAGTTTACATTTCTAACCAAGATGGAGTCTACCTAAGGGTAGGGTGGTCTCTCCCTCCTTTCTCTAGTCTCTTTGGTCCCCTCACTCTTCCACAGTGCCAAGGCAGGGTTCCCTTCTCAGGGGCAGAAGGAAAGATACCTTGATTTAGGAACACAGACTTTGGATTCAAATCATGGGCAACTTACTACTTATGTGACCTTGGCAAGTTCTAGTTCTCCTCTGGCCTCTCTCCTCATTTATAAATCAGAGTTGAACTAGATGGTCTGTAAGGTCTCTACCAGTTTGAAAATCATAGGATCCTGTGCCCTGAGTTGTCCCCTAGAATGGAGGCTCTTATGCCCAGTGGGTCCAATCTTTGTGGTAAGGTTACCCTAGAGAGCCTAAGAGACTCAGGCTACTTACTATCTTGGTGACTAGGTATCTAGGGCTCAGGCAGGGAATTCACCTTCCTTTCCTCCACCAAAAGCCTCCAGTGATGGAAGATGGAAGAAAGGAGCCAGTATTAAGAGAACACTGCCTTGTGACTGGGGAGGAGGAGGGGGTGGTGTTCTGAGAAATCAGTTTTTCTTATAACTAAGGACTGGGACCTTTCAGTGGGTGCTCCCCACCCAGCCCAGCGACCATTACACCTGGATCCCCTTCCCAGCTGTGGCACATTTTTCTTCACCCTTTGGTCAGAGCATATGATTTCACACAAATACTCTTAACGGATGGGGCTGAATCCCTGGGTTGGGGTAGGGACGCCTTTGACAGGCGACAGAGAATGTGGAGTTGCAGACCTCCTGATGGTTGCCTAGTAGTCCCCAGCAAGTCGGCTGCGCAAAAGGACAGGAACTGACTTCGCACCTGGGGGCGGCTAGCTAGGGGGAATGGGGTCCCCCTCCTTGTCTTTGGTGCAGTTCCCCCAACCCCCTGTCCGGGGTCTCACCTGGGCCCTCAGGCTCAGCTTCCCGCCGAGGCCAGTCCCGCCGGCCTGGCCCGGCCGCTGCCCACAGGGGGCTCCGGTGTGCCCTGCCTCCCTCTGGGCTGGTTCCACGGCTGCTGCGGATGCTCCCCCATCTCCGCTGCTGCCGGCTCTGCTCTTGCCTCTTGCTCTCCTCCACTCCCGACTCTCAGCTCCGGTTCCCTTCCCCACCCGGCCTGAGCTGCACTGCGCGCAGACCGGCACAGCGCAGCTCTTGCGCGTCCCCGCCCTTTCCCTACGCGAACAGCCCCTTCCCTGCGCGTGTCCGCGTCTCCCGCGGCTCTGGGTACTGGACCAAGCGGCATCCAGGGCGCCCCCACCCCACCCCTCCAGGTGTTCAATGCCAACAGACCAGACAAGCGCCTATCTCTAGCCACGCCCCCACTGCGGTTTGTGGGATTGGGGAACAGGGCCTATGAGGTTTGGGTTTCAGCTTTTCTGTGTTCAGGGTGCCTTCTTCAGATACTTAGTGCACCTTCAGAAGATGTTTGTTGCTACATCCAACCCAACCCACCACCATTCATTCATTCATTCACTCATTCATTCGACACTTGTTAAGTGCTGCCTGAATTCCACTAGCTGGGGAAGATACAAAGCTTAGATAAGACTAGGCAACTGCCCTCAGAGAGCTTACTAGATGAATGTCTGTCTAGCCCTCAGCCTTAGTCCTCACGGAGCTCAGTCTAGTAGAGAATTCTGGACTTGGAGATCCCCAGGAAAGAAGCCAAGACTAGAGCTCCACCATCCTGTGGGAATAGGGGATAGGATCAACGGGATAGGCTTGGCCTTGACAAGGAGTTGGGGCCAGAGGGAAGGAGATAGATGAAGATGAGGGGGTTTTAAGTGTGGGAGCAATGAGGAATTACAGGTCGATGACATTAATCTTTTCAGTAAAGGAGATGAGGTCTTTTTGTGAGAGGGGATGGGGTTGGCTTCACGGACAGAGGTTTGGAACAGCTGTACAGGGACGTGATAGGGAAGGGATAAGAGATGAAGTCATTGGTAGGCACCTCAGGTGGTTCAAATCTCTATCTGAACAGGAATATCCTCAACAATGCACCTAAATCTAAATCCCTGGCAAGTGGTCATCTAGCTTCTGCTTGAAGACCTCCAAAAATGGGTAACTGACTGCTTTGGTTACCCATTCTTCTGTTGGAAGCTCTAATCTTGAGAAGCTTTTCCTTACTTCAAATTAAAATCTGTCTTTCTTAGCGGGCAGTAAGTAGTTAGCATCCTGTTGAAGTCAGATAGTATAATTTGGAGGTGATCTTGAACTCTCCCCCTCTCTCACCTCTCAGAGCCAATCAATTAACTTAGTCCAGTCAATCCCACCTCAATTTCTCCTCTCCATTCCTCATCACGGGCCTTTATTACCATCTGGATGAAGGCAGTACATTCCTACTCTTCCCAATCCACTCCTTCTTTCATATTATTATTCCTAGAATAATTTTTAAATTTTCATTTGAAACTATTTGAACTGTACTCATTCATTCTAACTTTTCTGACACAAAAACCTACTCATGTTAGCCTTCTGCTCAAAAATTTTCAATGGCTTCCTACTTCCTAATGAGTTAAAATGCTTTTGCCCACATCAAGGCCCTTCCAACCCTGCCTTTCTAGCCTTACCTCACATTATGCCTGTATACATTCTCTATACCAGGACAACTGGACTACACGTCTCCTTTCCAGCCTCCTCTCCTGTACTTTCCTGATGACGTGCCTTTGCACCGTGACTAGAATGTCCTCTCCCCTCTTTCCTTTGCTTCTTTAAAGCCCAAATGAAACACCACCTCCTCCAACAAGCCTTCTTTGATTCTCCTCTCTTTCAAATTCAGTAACCACCTTCCCTCCCACCCCCCTTGGCCCTCATGTACTGTGAACTAGATTGTTAGCTCCATGTGAAGAGAGACGGTCTTACCTAATTCCCCTCCCCATGACCATCATTGTTTTTAGCATGATTAATGTTTAATGAATAATGATTTTGTCCAGCTGAGCTCCATGCCACAGGAAAGAGAAGCAGAAGAGATGGTGGGGCAATGTTAAGGGGGCTCAAGTCTCTCCACTTTAGTTTGTTTGGGGTGACCCACAGATGATGAATAAGGGGAAGGAAGAAGTGCCCCCAGGCCTATGACCAACAGAGAAAAGCACCTTCCAGTCCTGCATCTCATCCCAGTTACAGCCCTAATCACATTCTGTCTTTTATTGTAGTTCTGTGTGCACCTCCATCCTGTCTTAAGCCCCACCTCTCCACCTAAACTGAGCACTCCCCTAGGACATGGATTTCTCTGCCTCCACCTCAGGACCATGGGAAGGATCAATGAATGTTTGCTTAATGAAAATGTACCCTCAACTCCCACCTTTGCTCATAAGTATAAACCAGGCAGAATGTAAGAATCTTCTCACCCCTACCCCCATAAGCTGACCTTGGGTCTACTCCCAGTTTCCAACAGCATCAAGCACAGGGCTGGGAACAGCAGTGAGATAAGGTAAATGCTTATTGGCCTGAGTTTACTTCTCCCCCTAAAAGCAACCCATATATCTGACAGATTTGTACGTGCAAAAGAGCCTCTTATAACGTAGCAGTCAATCACCCTTCCCACTCAGCTCTGCCCTAGTCAGTCCAAACCTGGAGTGTTACTTCCAATCCCAATGGACTACATATGTGCATGGCTACAAGAATGTATGTATTAATAAGTTTCTCCTAATCAACACTTTTAAAGCAAATCTAAATCATTCAATCTTATCATTCCACATCTATAACTATATATAAATAAAAATTAACATTGGTATAATGTAGTTCACAAAATTGACAAGCTTGTGCACGCAGAGAGAATGAACAGCTTGGGAGGAAGACTGAAACTAGACAAGATTTGGGATCATCACATTTAGACCTAGAATGGCCCTTAAAGGCAGCTAAGTGGTGAAGTTTATTAGAGGGCTGTGCTTGGGAGTCGAGAAGATGTTCAAATCCTGCTCCAAATGTTTACTGTGTAATCCTGGGCAAATCATTTTGCCTTTATTTGCCTCAGTCTCAACTGTAAAATGGGGTAATAATAGTAGCTACCTTGAAGAGTTGTTGTGAAGATCAAATGAGATATTTATAAATTGCTTAGCACAGGGCCTGGCACATAGTAGGACTTAATAAAGCCTTCTTTTGTTTCTCTCTTCTCATTTAGTTCAAGCTCCTTCTTGTATAACAGAGAAACAGGCCCAAAGAGTTTTAGGAGATTGGCCAAGGTCACACAGGCTGTATCTGGCCAAGTTGAGATGCAAACCCAGGTCAGAGGGTTCTCATTGGCTTCTGCTTCTGCCCCAGCCTATGATACACCCTGCCTGGCTTCCCTCAGGACCTCTCTCCAGCACTCCCTTCTGTACAAGGCCCCCAAATGTCAGCTCTTTGTAGGGGTTCTGTGTATAGTCATAGATATGCATGTTGTCTAGGCTGCGGAGTGGATACTTCCCAAAAGCAGGGAATATTTCACGTTTGTCTCCACATGCCTAGCACCTAGCACTTGGCTCAGGAGATTAAAGAATATTTGTTGGTTGATTTGATCACAAGACTTCAAGATATAAGGTTGGCAGGGACCTTAGAAATACCCTATCCAATCTCTTCATTTTATGAATGACAAAACTGCAGCCCAGAAAGATGAGGGGATTGCCTCATCTCTGAAGCAAGGTCACCCAGGGAGTGGAGTAGTAGAGCTGGAATTTGAATCTGGGTCTTCTGACTAAATCCATTACTCTTTCCATTATGTCCTGCTGCCATAAGGAAAGATGTGTACAGAAGATTCCTTCATAGGATGGAAGGTGGTGGTGTTCAGTTATTTCACTCATGTCTGACTCTGTGACCTCATTTGGGGTTTTCTTGGCAAAGATAATCCAGTGGTTTGCCATTTCCTTCTCCAGCTCCTTTTTACAGATGAGGAAACCGAAGCCAACAGGGCTAAATGACTTGCCCAGGGTCACACAGCTAGTGTCTGAGGTCAGATTTGAACTGAGGAAGATCAATCTTCCTGACTCCAGGCCTAGTACTCTGTGCACTATGGCACTACCTAGCTGCCAGGGTGGAAGGTAGAGCTAGATAAACTACAAAAATCCTCCCAGATTTGGAGTCAAGAGATCTGGGCCTCTATGCTGGACTTTCACTACTTGCGTGATCATGGGCAAATTCTTTTTTGTCTGGGACTATTTCCCTAAGAGGGAAAACAGACTAGAAGGTCCAAAAAGTCCCTCCCAACTCTAAATCTGATGAGTCTAACAAACTATAACGAACAGGCATTCCACACTCAGAGCCCCTCGGATCCTTACCCATGCACTGCCTGAGGCACCTAGCCTAAACTCTGGTTTTGGAATCAAGGGCTAGGTAGGAATCCTGACTCTGCTTCTAGTAAAATAAAACAATGTTTGTACAGTGCTAATTAGCACAGTGCCTGGCACACAGCAAATGCTTAATAAATGCTTGCTCCCTTTCCTTCTCCTACTCGTATTACTTTGAACAAGTGGCTTGATTTCTCCATGTCTGTTCTTCATCCATAAAGTTAGGAGTCAGAGCAGTGGGTCTCAAACGTTTTGAGTACGAGGACCTTTTTCAAACAAAAAAATTTCACTGACCATCAAATGATGCAGTTCAAATGTCACCTGCCACACTAGCTGTATGATCATTGCCAAACTGCCTAACCTCTAGGAACCTCTCTTCTCATCTGTAAGATGGGACTCAAATGAGATAACATGAATGAGGCCCTGTAGAAAACATCATAGAAATACCAGCAGAAACATGCAGTCATCATCTTCCTCCAAGCAGTGCACCCACCTGCTTCCCTGGCTCCCCCTTATCTCTAAAGGGTGGGCTTATCCATGTCTTCTCTTCTATCCTGGCCCCAGAGATGCTGGATGAGTTGGGGGGAAAGACAAAATTGTGGGAGCAGCTTAGAAGGAGGTAGGACCAGGTGGTCCCTGGTAGTCCGGGATGGATAGTGCCAAATGCAGCCTCCACAGAGGTTACAATAATTGAGGTTTACTTATTTATTGTTTAAAATATATTTAAACAGCAGCAATCACTTCCCAAATGCAAAAAAAATTACAATATTTCAAATAAAATTAAAATGCAAATCGGAAAGAAATGAAAGTACAACTGAGAGAAATTAAACACAGAGGGCACCAAGGGCTGGGCTCAGAGCCAGGGAAGAATCCAGGGTCTTATTCAGGGGGCTGGTGCATGTTTTTGTGTGTGTGTGTGTGTGTGTGTGTGGACATTCGAGAGGTGCAGGCTAACTGCAGACAGCCAAGGCACCACCTCAGAAGCCCCAAACCTTCTAGCTCCCTCCCACTTCCACCCCCCAAATGGAGCCTGCATCCCGGTTAGAGGAGGGAAAGGCTGAGGGAAGCTGTTAGGAGCTAGGGAGGGGGAAAGCTGAGGGTGAACAAGGTGCTTGGCATAGGAGAAGGCCAAAGCCAGAAAGCCCTGCTAGATACACCCTCCCCCCACCCAGGGCCCCCCCACCCAGGGACCTGCTAGTCGACTTCCTCCATGTTGCTGTAGGTAGGGGTGGGGCGCTCCGTGGGGCGGGGGAACAGCTCTGCGGGCGTCATCGGGGGGCCCCCCTCAGGGTCCAGACCAGGCGTGAAGGGCGCAGGGCCCATTCCCTGTAAATGGAACATAATGCTGGGAGGGGCAATATGGAGGAGGCAACCCGTCCCCCTCCAACAGTACCCAGGATCTTTTTCCTTCCCTAAGGTGTGGGCCCTCTCCCTCCCACCAGTGAGCAATTGGGGCACATGAATTTGTGGGGGTACTCTAGTACATTTTTGGGATATTAGGCGCGCATAGGGAAAAGACGCAACAAGAGGCACCAGAGGGAGGAGATAAGACACTCAGCCTGGGAACAATTTCACTTTATTGACACATTAAATACAGGAAAGTAGCTTGGGAATAGGGGGCATGGAAAGGGAAAGGACCTGGGGCTGGGCCTCATAGATGGAAGGCAAGAAGGGAGAACAGGATCCCTGTAACCTCAGGTTTACACTTATGGCCTGGGGCTAGAAGCCCAGCAGGCAAGTGGCCCAGGGACACAGCTCAGGGTCTGAGGCATCAGGAACTGGCTGGGCGGAAGCCTATTCTCTCCTAGGGGAAGGCTGTTAGGCAGCCCTTAGACATGAGTGTACAGAACACAGCCAGGGCCCTGAGTCCATACTGGGGTCCAAATCCACTCCCCAGAGGGGCCAGCCTACAGGCAGGCAACTCATCTCCATCGGCTCTGGGACACCAGTGGATAGAACACATTGAGGACGAGCGCCACCAGGGCAGCCATGGTGCCCAGGACGAAGTAGCGGAGGCAGCCCTCATCTGGTGCGTCAGGGGCCCGCCTCGGTGGGGCTGCCCAGCCTCGGGGCCCCCAGTGGCCCAGGCGTCCTGAGGCCTCTGGCCCCAGCTCTTCCTCTGCTTCCAGCTCCTGCCAGATCCGGGAAGCCTGCGGTGTGCGGAAACTTGAGTCAGCACCAGGGGGCGGGAAGACAGGACAGGATGGGATGTGGCCCCTGGTGTCCCCACCCCCCAAAGCCCTGAGCCCCACCCTGGCCACCCTAGGAATGGGTGCTGGGGCTGTCCACCTGCAGTCCCAGGGTCAAGCAGTCAGAAGGTAGGTGGTAGCCATCTGTAGTGATCATCTGAGGTGAATTTCAAGGGGGCACAGGGCAATCCTGGCATGACTTTCTCCAGCACAATGTATCTCACTCAGACAGTCAATCAGAGTTCAGCTTTCCAGCCCCCAGGATCAAAAAGGATCCAGTTATCACTGCTCAGTTCTCCTCTGGATGAAAGGAGTCTTGCTCACAGAAGACATCCCAACACAGCACAGCTTTTCTTCCCTGACCCAGATAACTTGGTCAGCCAATCGCAGTGCAGCTCTGCCCCATGCACTTCCAGGGCTTAAACAATCACAGCGTGGTTTTCTTTCCCCCATAAGCCAAAGCTCCAATGGCCTTGGCCTATGACTGATCTCTTCAGGTAGAGAGTTCTTGTTCTGCCCACATCTCGAGTTCCTCCTATGTGCCAGGCGTGGTCAGAGGGGACGGTCCCCTGGCATTCCCATGGAGCCCAGCCCAGTGAGGGAGGAGGTGGAGAGCAGAGTTGACGGATCGAGTTGAAGGATAGATTATGCCCACTATACCCGCATGCTGTCAGAAGTGGCAAGGTGTCGATGGCAGAGGTGGTGGGTTTACGCAGAAGGCTGGTGCCTCCCACTCCAGAGAGAGTTTAGATAGATCCCCTCACTGGGAGGGAGACGGAGAAAGCCCAAGGCCTCCCATGGTCACAGCATCCCTATTCTTTAGAGCTCTGGCTTCAGGGCCTGTGGACTGAGGCAACTTCTCCTGGAGGCTGAGCTCCATGGGGCTGAAGGATGTCAACCCCAGAAGGCTCAGCCTTAAGGAGTAATACTCAGGGTAAGGAAAGCAGGTACTCACCTCTGAGCAGGGGCAATCAGTGTGAGCGGCGTGCATGTACACTAGTATTTGAACAGTGTGTATGTATGTGCGTATGTGTGTACTGGCAGGAGAACACATGATTAACACATCAAGCAGAGGTGCTCCAGCAGAGGCTGGATACACATGAGCATCTAAGACTAAGAGTCTGAAAGGACTGGAGTCATTTAGTCCTAGAAGCTGTTCTCCATGTGGGAGAAGAGTCTCCTTGGGTTAGTAGAGTCAGGGAGTGCACGTGCGTTTGCATGTCTGGTGTGTTGTGTGTCAGTGTGGTCGCATGAATGGACTGGCTGCCCCACTGGGGGCCAGCGCTATTGGGTGCCTGGGCCCCTCAGAGGCCCTGCTTTCCTCTACGGCCAAATCCCCAAGTCTGCAGCATATTCAGGGCTTACTGGGGTGTACAATGGACACAGAACCTAGGTCCCTCAGCCCCACTGGGGATGTGAAGAAGCCTCTACTGCCCAATACCAACAGGGAGGGCATGGATGGAACAAGCCAGGGAAAGATGAAATGAGAGGTGTTTTGCCCATGAGTCAGGTATCACAGCTCAACAGAGATCCCCAGGGCAAATGTCTCTGCATCACAGCCCAATCACCCCACCCACTGAGAAGCAGGGCAAGACAAGGAATGATCTGGTCCTCATATTCCCTCCCATCTCCTTCTCCTGACCTCAAGTATTTAAGTACCCCACACACAACCCCTCACATCATGCAGGTTTCCCTCTCACCTGGCTGGTGGCCGCCTCAGTAGCTGGGCCCAGGTCAGGGTGGTGGTCAGCCGAAGGGGCCCTTGGAGGCCTCTCCACAGGAGAGTTTCGCCGACGATAAAAGAGGACATAGGCGTAGCGGGTCACTACCTGGCTTTCATCTACTGTGGTCACTGTGCTGTCATCAAATAGTCTCCAGCCTTTGGGGGTGGGCAAGAACAAGGAGGAATTACTAGGAGTAGACATGCCCCTAAACAAAGGAAGTAAGACCCACCTCCAGCCCCTCTCCCCAGGATATGAGAAAAGCAGTTTCTTATCCCTGCTCTAAATTCACTTTCTCCTTCTAAAAAAGGGGCATATGCCAGACTTTTGGGAAATGCCATTCTTTATGCAGCAAAGATGAGGCAAAGGCAAAGGAGGCTTTGAATGAACTTAAGTGGGAACCATAGAATCTGGTTCACTTAGAGGGGCAAGGGAGCTGTAAAAGGGGTCACGTAATGGAAATAAGGGTTTGCTAACAACTGAAGGAGCTAGGAAAAGTAGTGGATAGAGTGCCGGGCCTGGAGTCATGAAGATCTGAGTTCAAATCCAGCCTCAGACACTTACTAGCTTATGACTTTGGGCAAGTCACTTCCCCTGTTTGCCTCAGTTTCCTCATCTATAAATAAGCTAGAGAAGGAAATGGCAAACCACTTCAGTATCTGTTCCAAGAAAACCCTAAATGGGGTCACAAAGAACTGGACAAAACCAAACAACAACAACAAAACCCTGAAAGCTGAGGCCAAAGTCCCATAAAGCCCCAACACATCAAGGCTTGGGGAAGATGAATGGAAGAAGGTAGAAGTTCTGAACTATGTCAGGGGATCTGTCCTCAAAATCCATTTGCTTGGACCACTTTTGGCGGGGCGTCTTCCTTAGGGAACAGGACATTCTCTCACCCACGTCACTCCGCTGGCTGCTCTTGTCACTAGGCAGGCGGGCATAAGCGGTGTAGTGGCCCCCAATCATGCCCCCATAGTGGTTGATGACTGCATACAAGTCATAGGTTGGAAGTTGCCGGTCATCCTTCTGGCCTATGCAAAATTTGCTCAAGTCCAGGTTCCTAGGTTGGTGGAAAAGAGATTGCCATGATCCCATGAAATGACAAGGACCAGCTGGGAGATTTCTCAGACCATTCCCAGAAGAGCTGCCAAATCTGACTTTGTCCTCTATTCCCTCATAACCCAGAGCCAGCAGAGGCTCTCCAGTCATGGCAAACATGTCATATTTTGCTATTTCTGTCCACGAATCCTTCATCCAAACACCTGGTAAATGCCTACTATGTGCAAGGCACAATTTCTCCCTGTGCTGTCTGCTCCTTCGACAAGGGACTTCCCCATCCTGAGAGAGTAAGGGCTCAGACCCTGAGGATCCCTGAGGATGGGTTTCTGTCTCCTCCCAACTATTCCCAAGGTTCCTCACCTGAGAGGGAATTCCACCATGTCATTGATTTTATCCCTCCAGATGAAGCTGCGAAAGGAGAAGCGCTTCAGCTGGATAATGAGCACATTTGGAAGGCGCCACAGCATCAGCTGCTTGGAGGCCTCTCTGTGCTGTTTACACTTTGGACAGTACCTGCAAAGAAGCAAGTGGAAACAAGTCAGACAATGGGGTAGAGGCAAACACTGAATATTTACAGCCATAATGGGGTGGGTGAGGTATGTCCTAGAATCACAGGGTCATAGCATGCATGTTAGAGATCTTTGAGACTTCCACTCCCTTATCTTACATCAGAAGAAAGAGACCCACAGAGAAGACCGGGTTTGCCCAGGGTCATGGAAGCAAGATCCAACCAATCCAATGCTCTTTCCACAATACTCTATTACCCTCCAACACTTTACTCAAATGAGTTTTTCTCCTTACTAAACAAATGAAAGCCTAGAAAAGAAAAAGTAGGGGAAATAACTCTCCCTTCCACAACTTAAAATTTTCCCTAATTTTTCTCTGTGCAGGCTGATACTGCAGACATAACAGGAGCCACCATTTGTAGTATACTTTAAGGTGGGCAAAATATGCAGCTCCAACTTTTATTCCTACCATTGGCCTCCTTCACTTCTAGTCACATGTTCCTGAATATAACTGGAGAAAAGCACGAAACCAGGCTATCTGGGCTCACTACAAATTCAGGTGATCTAATCTCAACTGGTCCCTCACTGAAGCAACACTCTCCACTCTGGCTCTTCCAAACCTCTTCTCTCCTCCAGCCTCTAAACTTCTTCCCACTCTATTTTAAATTCTGATCTCTTCCTCCGACGTAAATTGCTCTCTCCAAAGCTACCATGTTCTCTTAATTGACAAACCCATTAGCCTCTGCTCAATCCTCATGCTTCTTGACTTCTCTTGATCCAGCAGTTCTGGGCTTCTATGACATTGCTCTTGTGCCTCTCCTTCCCGTCTGACTGTGCCAGATTACACTTCCTTGTCACACTAACTGGATCTCTCCTCTACGCCCCGATTCTCAGCTCATGAACTGTCTCCTGGACATTCCACAAGCATTTCAAACTCATCCAGGACAGAACTTGTCTTTACCACCAAACTCACTCCTCTCCAGAACTTCCCTAATACTGTTAAGAAGCCACTATGAAGCTTCCAGTTACCCAAGTTTGAAACCTTCATGTCACCTTTGACTCCTCTCTCCCTCACTCAATATATGCAATCATTTGCCAAATTCTGTCATTTCCATCTTCCATTATTTCTCTCATATCTATTTCCTTTCTACTCACATAGCCATCACCCTAGTTTAGACTCTCATCACCCTGAACCTTACCAATTTCCCTGTCTTAGGTCTCTCTCCCATCCAATCTATCCTACAGATGGCTGCAAAAGTAATTTTCTTAAAATGTAAGTCTGATCACGTCACACTTCCACTGGAACTCCAATGGCTTCCTATTCCTACTCCTGTCTGGCATTTAAAGCCATTCACAACATGGCTCATTCCTGTGGTTCCAATTTTCTTACACATCGCTCTTCCTCCACACAATCGACAATCTAGCTGTTGGGGG